TGCATAAGGACTATAGATAAATTACATTGTGACTTGTATCAAATTTTATGTTCTTCACACAAATGTTTGCGAGGAAATAAAATTATCCATATTTTTCTGAATCAAGGCTTGTTAAATAAACATGAAAAATGTAATATGAAACATGAATAATGCAATGGAGGTACAAAGGAATACAAACCTGAGACAAAGTAGTAAGTTTATTCCAAATTTTGAAGTATTTATTTTTAGCACAAATCCTTTTATTTGATTATAAAGAACAACTGCCAAATAAATAATTATCTGAAAACTATTATCTTGGAATTAATCGTCTAGGTAAAAAAATCACAAAAAAGTGATTATGAAGATTTTTTTTCCAGATGTATAATTGTTTAATCTGATATAAATTTTAGGATGGAATGTATTAAGGCAATTGCATACTTAATTTTGCACCCTGTGATATTGAATTGTTTAGGATTACTGAGCCCACATTCTATAAAGAAAGTTATATATGTACTACATATATGAAACCTTTAGGCATATATGTATGTGTGTATATGTGTGTGTGTGTCTGGTAATAGCAGATGCTAATATCTGTTAAGGAACTGATAACTTACTCTCTATATAATATATATTAACTGATCTATTAATCATAGGTTTAATTTGTAGAACAAGATCTTTGTGGTAGGATTTGCTAGTTTGTTGCCAAACATCTATTCACTCCTCTCACTAAACAAAACCCAGATTTTTAGCTGGTTATATTGCTTCCCAAAATAGAAAGCACATTGTCTTCTAGACATTTTTGTAGTTAAGTTTGGCCATGGAACTGAATTCTGGCTTTGAGATAGTAAAGCTAAATATTTGTGGGAGTTTTCTGAAAATTGAAGAGAATTGACTTACCTGGAAGTTCAATGTACCCTTCTACCTTTTCTCTTAACTTTTAGCCTGAAAATCAGTGGTAAGAGCTGGACCATCAATAGCCATATTGGAATATAAGGTGATTCTGAGGGTAGAAATCCAGGTGCTGGGGTGATACAGGAGAAAATTATGGAGCCAACATTTCATACTTTTTCCATGTGTGAGAAGGATAAGATTCTATCTTAAGTCATTGTTATTTTTGTGTTGTGGTTATTGTTAAGCAAGAATTCCAGTTGAGCCCAAACCAATACACAGAGTGTGGTTATATCTGATGGATCCATACATAGGTCAACATCTTTCACTGGCAGCTATTAGTATGTGTTCTTAAGGAGAGTTGGAAATTTATTACTCTCCTTAATGTTCTTATTTCTCTTTAATATGTGAATTTGGACAGAAACAGAGACAGCTTATGCTTCCTGGGCAATAGCCTTAAATAACCAATTTATTCATTCAGCAAATGTTTTTTGACTAGTTTTTATGGATCAAATAAATTATTGGAATGCTTTGTTATTTAGTCAACTCATATTCAATAGCACAAGTCACCTGTGAGTTTGGGGAAAGTAGAAAAGAAAAAAGAAAAAATGAACTGAACGAAAACACTTTAAATATCTTCCCCAAATAGTTGTGTTCTAAACATTTTTTCCTGTTTTAAGACTGTAATCATCTTTATTTTCTGTGAATACAAATACTAATGTCAAGTATTAATGCTCAAATTGCAGGGGTTTATAGATACCATTACAAAATTTCTCAGTACCTCTGCCACAAAATCTCCCAATCTTTCCTGGGAGTTCTGGGGGCAGGGTCTCACATGTGCTTATGATCATTTTGTTTCTATTAATCACCTACTGCCCGCTATGGTGCTTGCAAGACTCTTACGTAAACTGTCTCATCATTCTGCTGCATGTAATATCTTCCAGGAAAACACGCCTCTCATGTAAAAATGCCAAATCCAAGTTCACTGTAGGCTACAAATCACCATGCTGCCAAAGGAGGCTACTTTCATGCTAAGCCACACCCTGTTGGAGATTGGCTTTTTCCGTTTAGAAATGAGGAGAGTATTTCTCTAGCAAACTGTCACCTTGATGTGCTACTGCTTATGCTCTGAGTATCACAAAGTCTCTAATGAAAACATTTCTATATGTTCTTTCTAGCCCCTTCATATACATTCCTTTATTATGCTCCATCCCTTGTGTCTTCACTGGAGGCACCTGAGATATGAAATTTTATCTCAACAGTTTTTATTTTTCCATGTGCGTCAACTCATGCTAATAGCTTGCAGGGAAGAATACTGTCTCATTAGTTCATCAGAAATAACCAAACCAGACTTTGGGCTCAAATGGAAACCCTGCTACACCGGAACTTAACTTGGACTCTAGTTGGCTTTAATAAAATAGCTAGTTGAGAATGAAGCTGTAACTTCTTGATATTATGTGTGTGTTCTGTATATGTATGTATATACATAGATGTATTAACATATCCCATAAAACTTGTAATTTTTCTTTCAGTTGAAAAAAATAATATAAAAGAAATGCCACTGCTATCACATGTATTTTATTTATTCTACATGTATCTACTAGTAGATATAAATATAAATAATGTACTTGCGATATTCCAAAAGCCACTGTTTTTGCACATCCTGAAAACTTTATACATACAGTTTTATATTTTTGGTTTACTTAAAAGGTAATCTAATATATATGTGTGTGTGTTTCTTTCCTTTTGCAGTCTTCCCTTAGAAAATGTAATTTCTTTTTTAAATATATTTTATTGATTTTTTACAGAGAGGAAGAGAGAGGAATAGAGAGTTAGAAACGGATGAGAGAGAAACATGGATCAGCTGCCTCTTGCACACCCCCCACCGGGGATGTGCCTGCAACCAAGGTACATGCCCTTGACCAGAATCAAACCTGGGACCCTTTAGTCCGCAGGCTGACGCTCTATCTACTGAGCCAAACCGGTTTCAGCAGAAAATGTAATTTCTGTTACTATAAGTAAAGGAGATACGTATGGGTAGAGGAGATATGGATAGGCCAGTACTTTTGTAGATAAACACAATGTGAAAACAAGGAACTACTCTGTAATTATTGGCACAGAAATAATGGCAAAGAAACAAAATTACTTTCTGAACTACATTTTATCATCTTACTACTTGCAAAGATCACGTTTTGCCTGTTTTAATAAAATGCAAATCTTAATCATCTGAATTTAGGACTGTAAAGTATGTTTATAAGAACTTGGGATCCTTGATAGTAATAAACATGGTACTAAAATGACTGTTTAGGTAGAAAGTGGTTAGAACCATTGAGAAACATTTTACCAGTTTAGAGAAAGAATATATATCACAACCTCTGAGAAGCCCACAGTGTAAAGTTTATTTAAAACTACCAACTGTAGAGAAAAGAAAATTCCAAAGCATGACAATCTAAGGTAACTTTTAGTAGCACCTGTGGTAAGATTGAAGTTAAACAGAAAAAAAAAAAAATAGAAGGCATGTGTTTAATCTATAATATTGTTGAAAGAAGAGTTACAACACAGTAGCTTTTTCCTTGTAAGACTAGCCAGATGTGGGCCTTTCGAATGGTATATGGAGCCACAGAAAGAGAGAATACACGTGCTGGGAGAGAACAGCAGATGCAATAAGGTGTGTTAAAATCAAAAGCAAATGGAGAATAGCTTTGAAGCTTCCCTAACAAGACAAAATCAGTTTAGTCATTAATTTAGCTTAATTACCATTCATTGTGAAGACACTGATTTCTCACTGCATAGGCTGCTCTGTAGTGGTATAGCCCAAGCCTCATTCCATGCTTGGGTTTGCAAACTTTTTTTTTTTTTTTTTTTTTTTTACCAACTTCTACTCCAGTGATTCATTGGTTTTACGTTGGCTATTTCTGAATCTTTGACAGCTTTTTTTTTTTTTTTTTAATATATTTTATTGATTTTTTTACAGAGAGGAAGGGAGAAAGATAGAGAGCTAGAAACGTCCATGAAAGAGAAACATTGACCAGTTGCCTCTTGCACACCCCCTACCGGGGATGTGCCTGCAACCAAGGTACATGCCCTTGACCAGAATCGAACCCGGGACCTTTCAGTCCGCAGACCAATGCTCTACCACTGAGCCAAACCGGTTTCAGCGATAGCTTGTTTTTTATGATGGAGAGAAACCTACATAGAGTGAAGGTGACTGGAACAAAATATAAAAACTGTTTCCTCTTCAGTCACTTAATGCAGACAACTTCTAGTCAATGAAAGGGGCAATGCAATTTATTAGCAATTCCCTTTATCTGTTTCTCTGCCCTGGCATGAATAGTGGAGACTGCTTGGCCAGTGTTGTTAACTATTTGCTTTCTCATTAGCCTGATATTTGATCTGCAATCCCTCCAGAATTAACTGTTAACAGGAAAACACTCTGGAATTTAGGAAGTTTTGTTTGGCAATCACAGTCTAGGTGAAGTCTCCGCTTCATCTTGGAAGCTGGGGTGACCTTAGCTCTTTCTTTTTGATAGCCCACAAGAAGCAGTGCCTAGACCTCGGTGGCTGCTGTCCTGGGTAGAAGAGTTTGGCAGCCCCAGGGAACTGAAATTCTTGGGCCTGGGACACGCCCAGGTAGAGGAGCAACAGCCTCTCAGGCTCCACTCCGTTGCTATGAGACAAAAGACTAGGAAGGTGAGCGAAGCAGGAAGTCCCGCCTTCGAGCCCCAGTTGGCTCGGGCTCCAGCTCCCCCGACGCTCACGCCCACCGGCCCACTCCCTATTGGTCAGCTCTCCCTCGCGCCTTGAATCTTTTCCATTTCCTTTCCCTTTTCCACTTTCGTTCTCGGGTGAGACCAGCCTCCCCCATTCTCCTTGGAGTCCCTCTTCCTTTGGGCCGGGCGGCCAGCGGCCCTTCCTCTGGGGCCATTGTGTACCGTGGAAGACGTGGACCGGGCGGCTGCGAGAGGACAGGCACCTTCCGCCCATTGGCGCCCCGCGCTGTCTGGCAGCGCCCCGGCCTACGCGATTGGCCCACCCCTCGGCGGCCCCGCCCCCGGCCCCGCCCCGCGCCCCGTCCCTCAGTGTGTGTGTGGAGTACAGGGGTGGAGTGTCCAGCGAGTGGCCTCCTCCTCCCGCTAGTGCCGCCGCGGCGTCCCGCGGCCTCCCGAGTCGGGCGGGAGGACAGAGCGGGTGTGGATTGGTCTTGACGGTAATTGTGGCGTCTCCCCGTCTCGTGGGCTCGCGCTCTGGGCGGGGGAGCTCCTTCCTCCCGAGCTTGGCGTTGGACGCCGCTGGTGTCCGCCCGGGGGCTGCCCGCGCTCCGGGGGCTCTGCGTGTGGAGGAGTCGGACTCGCGCACACGCGTGTCTCCGGCCCGAGACGGCGCGGCGGGGCCGGGCGGGAAGGGGGCGCCGCGGAGGCTCGGCGTTTGTTTCTTTCTGTCCCGGGGGCCCCGGGGGCGGCCCGGCGCGGGCCACCGAGGACGAGGGGACGGCCCCGGCCCCAGCTGTCGCCGCCGCCGCCGCAGGCACGGCCCGGAGCGGGTATTAAAGCCCGGATCGCGGGCCGGGCCCGGGAGGGGAGAGGGAGCGGGCGGGCGCCGGGGTTGCAGACTCCCTCCCGGGGAGGTGCGTGCACTGGGGAGCCGGACCCAGAGCGCCCGGGACGCACGGACGGAGGGGGCTCGGGCGCTGGAGGAGGCGCCAGGAGATACTTTGTCCTTTCTCCGTGTCCCCCTTCCTCTCCCAGCGAAGGTCCCAAAAGTGACAGGCGGGGACCCTGAGCCGGGAAGGGGGCGCGGGGCGTCCCCCAAACAAAGCTCTGGACGCTCCCCAGCCCCTTTGGGGGAGCTGAGAGGCCGGGAGCGAAAGAAGCGAACTCTTTTCTTTCTGTGCCCGCTCTCGTCAGTTTCTCACCCTCTCTGTTAGAAATGGATTTTGTTGGTTGGTTGGTTGGTTGGTTGGTTTCTAGTTCTTTTTTTTGTGGGGGTGGAAGGGGTGGGTTGGGGGAAGGGTCTTAACTTGGGGTGAACTCCTCACCGCGTTGGTAGAGAATTGTGTGTTCCTGTCTCCTTTGCTCAGGGGTCCAGTCATGGGCGGTTTTATCGGGGAATAGCCAAGTTCTGAGCCTTTGTTGACAACAGACATGTGTGCCTCTTACGCTTCTGTAGAAAAATCTTTACGTTTATTCTGTAACTTGGTAAAATCGGAGTGGAAGTGCGGTTTTGGAGTAAGGCTCTCACAAATGTTTCCCGGGTCTCTGGTTCTAGCATTTTTGAATTGGAATTAAGGCGAGAGAGGGCGAGAACATTGTGTTCTTAACCAGTTGGAGGAAACCTGTGTAAGTTTTTTTTTGTTGTTATGACTTGGGTATTAATCAAGCCTTCCCTACTTGAAATGTGAGAAGGATGCCTTTTTAACTCTTTAGTGTCCCAAATGCAAGTCTAAGCTCTTGGCTCCTAAACTGTGTAGAAACTCAGAGGGCAAATCCGCACACTTTTGAAAAGTTGAGTCTGGGACCCTGGGTTTTGTTCTCATCGATGTAGAAGATAGAGTGGGTGCAAGTTAACCAGGCCTGCTTTCTCATAAGTATTTTCACGACCAACTAACTTTTTTTTTTTTTTTTTTTTTTTTTTTTTTAATTTCCTCTCCAAGAACTGAGATTCTAGATGGCAAATTCTATGAATGGCAGAAACCCCGGTGGTCGTGGAGGAAACCCCCGGAAAGGACGGATTTTGGGCATCATTGATGCCATTCAAGATGCAGTTGGACCCCCTAAGCAAGCAGCAGCAGATCGCAGAACTGTGGAGAAAACTTGGAAACTCATGGACAAAGTGGTAAGTTCTGTCTGACTGTGCCTGTACTTAGACCTAGTCACCCAGGATATGGCTTCTTCAGTTTTACTTATACTGGTAATTAATAATAATTATTATTGTGGCAACAATCTTTTAATTTGGATTGGCTCTTTTAGTCTGTTTGACATCCACTCTGTGTTTTGAAAAGTTGGATTCAGAGCAGACTCCTCCCCCTCTCCCCCTTTGTCCTACTCTTCAAGGTTCAAAGTTCCTCTATATGACTCAGATATGTAAAGTTTTTACTGTTGGTTGTTCTTTGTCAGGTGCATGGCCATAGAATACTTTGGAAGTGTTAGTTCTCTCCAGTGTGAGGCTGTGTTGCTATTAATTAGATAACAAAAGAGTGCAAACAGGCAATTTAAGAAGTCTTTGATGGACCATTCATGACAACCACAATGTGTGATGCTGAGAATATTTACAGGGGGAAAAGATTAGTCCTTAAATGAGGAAGCAGTATTTGAGAGAATTTCCATTTTCTTCTTTGATAAAGCATCTTCATTAAGAAACTTTTTTGTCGTTGTTAATGGTAAAGTTAAAGTTTCTTTCATCTATTCCATTTTGAAACAGGAAACCTTTTGATTGCACATTGTTTATCGTGAAAGGAAAATTTATGATGGAGGTGTGGGGCTGAGTATCAGAAACCACTGTGGTTTCTGCATGTTGCTTTCAGATGAACTACAATTTCACAAGAAAAAATGAAGCAAGATGTCAGATCCAGAATTAATAGTTCTTGCTTTTGAAGCAATAGTACTTTCCCCTAAATGTTTTTAGCACCTTATGGTTTTACTGCCTAGATATTTGGGGCTAATTCTAATCTTTCTTGACTCAGGGTTCTTGATAACTTAATTATTGTGGAAATGGAGGTTTAAAAAGTATTATTTTGCAGGGATATGCTAAAGCCTTCATGAGATCAAATAGTATCAGTCACCTTTACTTTTGGTTTGTAACTGTGTGCAAATATTTGCCATAATAAGCCACTGTCAGTGGCATTAGCAAATACAGGAAGGTGATAAGATTTACTTTATTTCATTTATCCTTATGGAAAGTACAGGTGGTTAGATGAATGATAGGCCTGCCATTCTGTGGCTGGTGGTGCTAACTGCAGAGCCAGAATATTTTTGCCAGATAAATATCCTTAGCTTTGGGCTTCAGTGTGACCTATTTAAGCTTCTGCCAATTTATTCAAATTGTGATATTAAAGTGGTCCAGACAGAATGACGTCGTAGTGTCAGAACTGTAACTTGCTGCTTGAGGTCAGGTTTTGGTTTTTAGCATTGGATACTTAAGAATGAGGAGTATGCAGCTGGAAAAATTGCATGCATTTGGCAGGCACAATACTAGCTGTCTTGCCTTTTCTAAAATGTATGCAATTGATGGTCACTCGTTGCTGAAATCATTATTTGGGTATACGAGAAGGAATGCAAGGTTTTCCTCTAACTTATCTGTTACACGAGTGACAAAAAACGGGTCAGATTCTGCCCGGGAGTTACTCCTCCCACACCACCCCCTTCTTTGAGTGGTCAGAATTTGTATAGGACAGCAAATGAACAAGATTTATGTAAGGAAGCGGTGAGCTATAGTTAACATACAGTTATTCTTTTTCAAACATTAAAAAATATCTCCATTAATTTTGGTCTGTAACTTATGGTTAACATAAGTTGTATCTACTTTTAATTATTTCACCATGGTTTATGGTAATATACATGGATATTTAATAGCTAAGCTTCTGCCTATTGTTTATTTTATTAACCCTTTTGTGGATTTGGGTTTAGCCTCTTCATGTGAGAAACTTGACTTGTAAGGAAATCAATTATCTCAAGTCTTTACTTAGTGGAATGTGGGTGTGGGTGTTGGCAAAGGTGCACTGTATGGTTTTTACCCCATTTGTCTTCATTGTCAGTGATGAAAATTGTTCTGTGCACTTATGAATACATTCGTGGGCTTTCTGTAGGGAAACTACATAAATCGTTATAAAAGAGTTCAGTATATTTGTTACTATTCTATTGCACATTAATAAAAAAGGAATTGATCATTACTAACTGAAAATATATTTTTATTTAATTGTGTAGTGTACAAGCAATCCTCACATGTGTTTATCTTTTCATCTTTTTTTGTCAGTGATGAAGGAAGTAGTTCAGATTCTCAACATTGTCCCAGTAATTACATCAGGAACTTTACTAGTAATCCAAAAGTTAATCCCTTGACACATCACCTAACTGTTTTGTAAAGTAATTGCAATAGTATGAATTTAGCTTCTGAATAACAGAAAATCTGGTAGTTATGTAAAGGGCAGGGTTAAGGGATATGAAGCGGTCCAGTAACTGTGTCCCTTTCCTTGACTTCTAGAATTTAAAATGGCCAACTGAGATTCCAGTTCTAATTGTTATGTTTTCAGAAGGAAGTCTTTCTGTGCAAGGTCACTGAGAGGAGAAGAGAGTAATTGTTCAGTTGTGTTCCTTATAAGATGCAAAGTGTTTTGTAACAAAACTTGAGTTGCATAGAATTAGCATAGTAAATTTACTGAGGAAAAGAATAGTAGCATATCCCAAAGCATCTCATATTTTCTGGCCTTAGTTCTCTGTGTTAGTATAACTCAGTAGCTGACACCAAACTCTTTTAAGTTAGTTCATTTCTACTTGGTACAATGATAGGACTATTACTCGTGAATACGCATTTGAACTCAAATACACTTTCCAAAGCTGTTGCAAAGATGGGTGTGTTTTTTTAAGCACTATATAATAAAACATTTATTGAGAGCCTACTATGTCCCTATTAAGTGCTTATACTGGGGTTGCAAAGTTAGATAAGATATAACTCTACCTCTAATCTGTCAGGGACTTCAGAGACCAGCAACAGAGCCAGACATAAAAATGCATAATTGCCATTTAGAATGGAAAGGGCTGTGATGCAGACTTACACAAAGTACAGTGGCAGCAAAGTAGAGAACTGCCCCCTTGTTTTCTGGCCACTGTTGAGATAGTTGTCTGTTTGGATTCTGCTGGCCACTGACTTTACGAACAACATTATGGTACTCTTGCTAGAAGTGCTGAGGTGAGGGTAAGGAAATGATTGCTAATCAGTATGGTAGGAGTGATAATTTATTAATGTGAGGTTCCTGAACATGATTTTCAGAAGCATCTTAGCCAGGTGATGAAAAATGGAGGAAACCATTTTCTATCTAATAGATACTAAATGTACTGATTATGTGTGGCAGTTCAGGAAATTATAAAATAATTAATTGATGGCAGAGAGCAAAGCATTTTGAGTACCTGTATGCAATTTTGTTTCACTGTTCTTGTCATTTATTTGAAATTACGTTACTGAGTTTTAAAAGTCTTTAGAAAATGATGCCAAACAGCCTTTTGTGCCTTTTATCCTCAGTGCATTTAGCACATTTGTCAAATCTGGCATATAATTCATTCTCTATTTCTATAATTTCATTGTGACCATAATATATTTTAAAGTTTGTCAATCAAAGAAGCTTGGATTATATACAACTATTTGTTGTGTTTGAGAATAATATCTTTCTTGGGCCCTTGGGACAGGAAGTACCATATATTTAAATAATTTTTTACGTATTTTCTTTTCCTTAGTGAAATTGTTCTGTGTTAGCAGAATCATGTGCCCAAGTAGGCCTACATAGATAAGCATGTGGGCAGTTTTGTTTAGTACTGAGTTAGGTTTTGAGTTTGTCTTAAATTAAGTGATCCTACAGTTTGCTACTTGTTACTTTTATTATGTTTATTTATTTAAAATATTTTATTGAATTTATTGGGGTGACATTGGTCAATAAAATTGTATAGTTTTCAGGTATGCAATTCTATAATACATCATCTGTGTTTTGTATTGTGTGTTCACCATCCCGAGTAAAGTCTCTTTCAATCGCCATTTATTTCCCCCACCCCCTTTCCCTTTGGTAATCACCATACTGTTGTCTGTGTACATGAGTTTTGTTTGCTTTTTTTTGCTTAATCTTCATCCACGTCTTCCCCCGCCTCCCCAACCCCCTTTCCTTTGACAGATGTCAATCTGTTCTCTGTATCTGTGAATCTGGTTCTATTTTGTTTGTTTATTTTGTTCATTATGTCCCACATATAAGTGAAATCATGGTATTTTTCTTTGGTTTATTTCACTTAGCATAAATCTCCAGGTCCATCCATGCTGTGATACTTGTTACTTTTAAAAAAAAGCTTTTGATAAAATAACAAACTTAAAGGAATCCTTCCAAGAGTTACCTTGGCTTATCCTTGTGATATAGGGCATATATGTAGCAGAAGCCTTAATCACTTAGTAATCTTTTAATTGGTATAAAATTTTAATCATTCAGATTTTGGATCAACTTCTTTCTTTCAAAGTTGCTTTATATACTATCTATTGATTTCCTCATTCATTTATCATATCCCAACTCTAGAGATAGAGATTTATAATTAATCATACAAGCCTATAAAATACAATAAGTGCTATAATATGGTATAAATGAAGTGCTGTGAGATAGTTTGTGGCAGAGGTGAACAGTCGGTATAGAATGCAGCATGGTGGAGGTACTATCAAGCTATTAATTTGTATGCTTTGCATTCCAGTGAGGTGGAGGACATAGGTTGAAGAAATAATTGGTAAAGGGAGATTGTGGAATGAGAGATGTGTGTTAGAGGAAGATGAAGAGGCTTTTACAACTCTGTCAAGGAATTTGAACTTTGTTTATTAGACAAGGAACCATTGAAGTCTTTGAGCAGAGAAAAAGTCAAGGCTGTGGTGTAATCTCGAATCTACAAAAGAGGATTAAAAGAAAATAAACTTAAAAGTAGTAATAATGATCAAGAGAAATTAAAACAGACTGGGCAAGATATAATGAAGGGCTAAGTTAGAGAATTGACAGTAGGTATGGCTCAAATGTGGCAGGTATTTGGAGGTAAAATGTCCTGGTGACCCTTCAGATACAGAGAATGAAAGAAAAGGCGAAGTGAAAGTGACTCTTGAGGTTT